CTGTCATGAGCTCCCGAGGGACACAGAGTTTGCTGGATTGCAGGGCACAGGACGGCCTGGAGCCCCTCGGAGGGTGGCTTCGGTGGGCGCTCCCTCAGGTCGGCCTTCTCCTGGGCAGTCCGCTCCACCGGAGCGAGCAGCCCAGGAGCACTTCGCTCACGCGCGCCAGCAGCTCTGGGGGAGTTGGCTCCACCGGGGCCAACTGCTGGATGGTCTCGCCCACGTGACTGTCACCGCCCCGGCCCCAGGAGTCTTTCACAGATTGCCCAAACTCACCCACAGCAGGTGGCACGATCGATCGAGCTGCTCCCTGGCAGCTCGCTCCGATGGCGCCAACTGCTCCTGGGCAGTTCACTCCAGAGACTGGCAGTGGACGGTCGCGTCGCTCGAGATCCTCACTGTACTCAGCCCGATCGATTTGTGCCCTCCTGCGCGGCTGACAATCAAGACTGTGGCGATGTTGTTGATGTGGTGTTGTTGATGTTTTGTTTGCTAGCGCGAGGTGTTGTATAAAGCCGCAGGTTGGCTAGCGGTTGTCTTGTTGCACGCCTTGGTTTCCACCGTGGCCGAACATGTACAGGGTATGAGCCTGCCTTGGCACGTGAGAGCGGGAGCCGATTCTAAATGACAATGGCGCGTCTGGCTTGCCCAGATTTGCGCCCGTGTGTGATTGCAGCGTACCCAGTCTAATGCATGTCACACTGGGGTCGGACGAAAGTCTAATCTACGTATGCGCATAGCCGCGCCGCTCTCACTCCTCGGGTTCCGCATAGTGCTGCTGCCTGGTTTCAGACAGCATCCTGGCCATTGCCAACGCCCTGTCCTGTAAGTTGTGGCCGACCTCGACAGCCATCGACTTTGGTGCGCCAGTGCCTCTTGGACGCATCGTAATACTTTGTCTTCACGGCGTTCCTGAAGCGGACCCACTCGACGTGCTCGACGTCGATGCCGGGACCAGGTTTCCTCTTCGCAACAAGGTCAGGCTCCTCTTGCAGCACGGCGATGGCGCGGTCGCTGAACTCGATCGCAAGCTTCGCGCGACGGATGGCGGCCGTGGCGACCCTGACTGTGTGCCCCGTGCCGCTCACCGTGACACTGATCTGAATGGTGCGCGGGATGTCGTCGACAACCTCTTTGCGAGGCCTCTTGCTGGATGGCTCCTCGACTACGTCGGAATCGAACTATAGGTCCTGAGCACGAGCAGCACGAGTAGCGTCGGCCATGAACCTGTCCACCTGCAAGTTGCGCTGCTGGGTCAATTAGCTCAACATCTCAAACTTCTGGCACACAAACTTCACGAACTTGCTGTCCTGCGTGTCTGTGGTGACAAACCTGTGGCCATCGATCTCAGTGAGTTCGGCGATCCAGCCCGAAATAGGATTGCATCGATCCTCCGAGGCTGCGGCGCATATGAATATAGTCTTAGTGGAGACAGGCATCGGCGAGGGATAAGATGGGCTGCGCTGAGTGCAGCACGACTGGCTGTGGCTGGGTTTGGGCCAAAATGGCCACAGGTGAGGAAGGGAGGAGGTTGGTGGAGTGTGTAGTGCAGCCTGTTCAGGGTGTAGCTGTGTTGTTGTTTGGGATGTTTACTCGTCTTTACGCCAGGTTGGTTCTGGGTGTTGTGTTTTGGTTGATGTGCTCCCGTTGTGTCTTGTATATGGCCTTCGTCGCCACGGCCGCCCGCATTCGCCTCGACCTCCTAGTCGGAACGCGCCGCAGGTCATGCATGAGGGTCGGCGGTTGACTGTGTGACGGTGGTGGCGATGATCAGTGGTACGTCTGTGGGTGTGCTGACGAAGATGCCGATCTTTCTAGTGATGATGGCGTTACTGATAAGCATTCTGCTATTACTTGTGCTGGTGATGATGATCACGGTGTTCAGTGTGCGGTATCCTCGCTCGCTTTCTCTGGGAGATCTGCTCTAACCCCCCAGAGTCACATACATCTTTTTGCCAGCAGACAACCAAGTCCAGTTCCTGCTATGTGCACATGCCTGGTTCCGCCCTGAAGGGGCCCCCAACACCAACAACCCGCACGGTGCGCCTAGGAGCTGACCCAACCGAGCGAATCGTGATACATTGCCATGCGGGAGCGAGCATGCGCTGCTGAGAGTGCTTCTCTCCCTCCTCGTCTTGCCTATGTGGGCCCCAGAAACGGCAGGGTCGTTTTTTCACCGTTTCCAAACATGTCCCTTGAAAGTGGAAACGGCAAAAGAACGGCGACCGGAAACGGCATTAAGACGGCTCCAGGATTGGACCCGGAGCCGGAACTGGTCAAAAAACGGCGACGGAACCGGTACAACAACAGCGTCGGAACCGGCAGAAAAACGGCAAAACGGGACCGGTAAAACAATGGCCTTGTCGTTTCCAGGGCCCGCTAAAGACTCGCCAGCTTTAACGGCCTTCGAATTCACAAGAATTGGAATGGGCAGCACGGCCTCAGATACAGTCGAGCCCACGCGGGTGCCAACGCTTACGTTGACTGAAGAGCGAATCACATTCACATCGGCCGTGTCCGAGGTTGGCGCACAAACACGGGACCACGAATTGAGGGGACTCGGCTTTTGGGTTCGTGCAATTCGCACCTCTGTGCGACAAACACCTTTAAAAATCCTTGCAGGGCGGGGCACAAGGGATCTCAACCGAACCGTTCGTCAGCTCTGCAGCAACGTTCACGCCTGAGCTCAGGGAGACGAGCGTCAGCGCTGGCCCCTAGCGTAGGGAGCAGCGACCTCAGCGCCGCGGGTTTTCTTGTCCAGCGTCACGGTGAGCAGCTGGTCATCCGCGTGGGAGGCGTAAAGATCGGTGACGGGAGGACCGCAGTTTCACCACACTCGGGGCTCAGCGGCGATCCGCAGGAGTGCGAGACCTCCTCCTCCCTCCTCCCTCCTCCTCCCTCCTCCTCCCTCCTCCTCCTCCTCCTCCTCCTCCCCTCCCTCCTCCTCCTCCTCCTCCTCCTCCTCCTCCTCCTCCTCCTCCTCCTCCTCCTCCTCCCTCCTCCTCCTCCTCTGCGCGGCGGAGTGCCATCTGCTGCGGCCCCGCGGGTCGACCTCCGCTGGCTCGGCAGCCGCCTCCTCGGAGGAGGAGCCCTCGGCGGCCCTCGTCTGCGCGCGCTGCCCTGGCGCCTCCGTGCTCGGGAGCACGCTGGACCGGGTCGGCGGGGCAACGCTCGGGATGGACCTTGGCGACAGCGAGGGTGGAGCCCTGCTCGTTGGCAGAGTGAAGGAGGAGCCCGTCGAGGAGCGGAACGAGCGCAGCAGAGAGTTTGAGGTGCAGCGCGGGGGCTATCTCTGGTCGAGGTCAACGGAGTCTATGGCGACGCCGGACAGATGATAGCCGAGTGCTGTCAGAGCCAGAGCGAGTTCTTAAACATCATTGTCTGCCGATTGCCAGGTACATCAAATCATCGATCGGGTCATCAACAAGCTAAACTGCCCCGTGAGTGAATGAGGCAATCAGTGGATGAGCAGACGCAGTGCTCAACGTAGCCAAGGAAACAAATCATCAGGGGTAACTCGGGTCAGGGCTAACTCGGTGTTGTTTTTCCGGGACTCCAGACCCGAGTTACCCCAGGCTCGAGTTACCCCGGATAACTCGGGCGCCCAAGTCAGAGAACGTCCCGGGACGAAGCCTTCGTCCAGGGGCAAGGCAGAAGGGTCCAGGACCCGTTTCCCTCGGTGCCCCTTTTTCCCCCGTGTTGAGGTGGTGGCGGCGGCGCGCAGTGCGGGAGTCACGGTGGCCATCCGCAGCGAGCCTGCAGCCAGGGGAGCAGCAAGAAAGACCGGCCGGGGCTGGAGAGCAAGGGTCCATGCAAACGGAGGTCAGCCAGAGCGCAGGGTCTTGCAGGATCCTGCAGGGCCAGGGGCGCACTGACCCGGGTTCGGGTGCAGGATCCTGCTGGATCCTGCAGGATCCTGCACGGCCTGACTGACCCGGGCTTGGATTGACCCGGGTCAGTGCGTCCCCGAATCGGCAAGGCCGAAGTGACTACGGAAAGAGCGGGCAGGAAGACCGACAGCAGTTCTTTCCCACTGAGCAGGGCTCAATGTCGGCGTTGCCGCGGATGTTGTCCATTTGAGGCAAAGGCCGCCTGCCCAACAGCGGTCGCTGTCGGTTTGGGGCAACATCTGGTGTTTGGCATCGTTCCAGTTTTTTTCGTACCCGCTTCGGGCGTCCAAGAAAAAGAGTGTACATATGCCCCGCCCCTTTCGGCCATCTGAGAAGCAAGAGCGGCATGAACATTGACTTCCGGATCTCCGCGCGGATTTCTCGGACCTGTTTTGGGGCTCCCCTGGCTGCGCCTTCGGCGCCGCCCTTGCTGCGCGGGCGGAGTTTCGAAAGTGTCAGTTCATGCTTTTGTTTGTTCCTCTAGGCTGCGCGTAAGAGCGACCCTTCGTTGGATTGACCTTTGGTGCGGGCCCACGGGGGGGGCTCCTCCCCAGCTGGCTTGCGCGCTTGGATTTGGCCTCCCTGCGGCCCCCTCATGTCGCGCACTGACGGTCACTCTTGCCTAGGGTCACTCGTGCCTTAGGGTCACAGGATGAAAAGATACCGATACCGTTGCCCTTCTCTTGTCGCCACCCCTGGATTCGCCGCGGAGTCTTGGCCAGTCCGCACACATGGGAGAAGTCCAGGAAGCAGCGGTATCGGTGTCTTTGGGTCCTCCCCATTCAGGGCTGGATGAGAGGGGGGGTTAGGGAAGTGGAGTGGTGCGAAAATTGCTGCACGCAGCTGGCTTCGGCCCCGCTGCCAGGCGCTTTCCTAGTACGATCGGCTCCTCTGGTGCTGGTAGGCGCCGGGAAATCACGCTGCGTAAGTTGATTCGCTGTCCCCCTTTGCTATAGTCAATCCTCCCTTTCGTCCGATCTGGCATTTCTCTGGAGGGCGGGCTGTGAGAGTGAAAAGGAGGAAATAGGGAGAGGGAGTTGGAGGAGAGGAGGCCTGGTTAGGTGTATTCGTGTTGCTCCCCATGCATCAGCAGACGCAGCCAGGCAAGTCATGCTCGCGCAGAAGTGGGACATGAAACTAGATCCCGCAGGTTGGTGGATGTCTGAGAAGCTGGATGGTGTGCGCGGATATTGGGACGGCAAAAATTTCTATTCAAGGCTTGGCAACCAGTTTCCTGCGCCCGATTGGTTCAAAGAGGGGCTCCCGTCAACGCCGTTGGATGGTGAACTTTGGTGTGGCCGCCGACAGTTCCGTCGTTGTCTAAGCATCGTTCGTAACAGGTCCAGCGGCAAGCTCTGGGAGTACATCACGTTTCTTGTTTTCGATGCTCCCAGTATGCGGGCCCCTTACGAAGAGCGCGTTGCATTCATCAAAAGCTCGGTCAGCACCGATGCCTGTCGCTACGCTGCACCTGTGGGCATCGTGAAGTGTTCTGGACGCGAACACCTGAGCAGCGAGCTGAAGCTCGTCGACAGCAAGGGGGGCGAGGGCATCATGCTGCGGCAGGCCGGCTCAGCCTACGAGCACCAGCGCTCCAAGGTCCTCCGCAAGGTCAAGAGCGTGCACGACGAGGAGGCGAAGATCGTCGGGCACGAGGGCGGCCGTGGCAGAGCCGGCTTCCATTGCGGGGCGCTGACGTTGGAGACCCCGGACTGATGGGCCAATTTTCCACCACCACCACCATCTGTTAGGACGGACGGGGGAGAAGGTAGGATGGGGAGGTCCTCCTCCTCCTCCTCCTCCTCCTCCTCCGCCTCCTCCTCCTCCTCCTCCTCCGCCTTCCGCCTCCTCCCCCCCTCCTCCTCCTCCTCCTTCTCCTCCTTCCCCCTCCCCCCTCCTCCACCCTCCTCCTCCTCCTCCTCCGCCTCCTCCTCCCCCTCCTCCTCCTCCTCCTCCTCCTCCTCCTCCTCCCCCTCCTCCTCCGCCTCCTTCTCCCCCCCCTCCTCCTCCTCCTCCTCCTCCTCCTCCTCCCCCTCCTCCTGCCTCTCCTACATCTGGCAGTGGTGGTGGCAAAAGCGGCCCATCCCCGGACGGCCGCCGCTTCTCCTGCGGCTCCGGCCTCTCGGCCGCGGACCGGCGCGCCCCGCCGGCGGTGGGCACCGTGGTGACCTACCGCTTCACGGAGCTCATGCCAGGGAGGAGCAAGCGGCATGCGCACGTACGTGTTCGGTCTCGTTTAGCCAATCCCCTTCCCCCTCTCCCTCCCCCTCGAGACCCCCACCTAATTTCCACCCCAGTTGGGGATAGACCCCTCGAGACCCGAAGGGAGCGACTTATATCCCCATCTTGGTGGGTAAATCGGTCAGTGGGGCCCAGGCCACGCCGCTGGGGATGGAGACCGGTCTAACGACACTCAAATTCGTCGCGGGCCCCAGAGGAGGACACCCAGAGGAGGAGGAGGAGGAGGAGGAGGAGGAGGAGGAGGAGGAGGAGGAGGAGGAGCAGGAGGAGGAGCAGGAGGAGGAGCAGGAGGAGGAGGAGGAGGAGGAGGACAACCTGTAGGAGGAGGTAGGAGAGGAGTAGGAGGAGGAGGAGGAGGAGGAGGAGACCCATAGATCCCGGATGCTCCAACAAAGGTGGAGCTGGCGGTCTGGGGCCGTGCTCGGCCCCGGGTGGCACGCGCCGGGGCCCTCAGGGCCGTCACCGAACAGCCCCGGTGGCAAGAAGCGGGCCCCGGTTAAGCGGTCCAGGCTCGGGGGGCCCCCGCATCGGAAAAAGTCCGGGGGCGTCAAAGAGGGTGTAAACAGTGCCCCTCCCTCCTGCCACCTCCTCCTGCCTCCATCCTGCTCCCTCCCCTCCTCCCCCTCTTCCTTCCCCTCCTCCTCCTCCTCCCCCTCCTCCTCCTCCTCCTCCTCCATCCCCACCTCCTCGCCCTTGACCTCACAGGATTGTCCAGAAGCCTCGATCCTCGGGCCCCGGCCGCGTCTTGCCCGCGGCACGAACGTCGGGGGCGGCAAAGAGGGGGGTGATGACTAGGGGGGGGTGGATATCATGGCGGGGGCCATGATATTTCCCCAGCTTTCACGGCGCCTCTTCTCATTTCATTACGTCCCTGGCCCCCCCGCTGGGCCGCGCATGCCGCAAGCCATGATTTGCACCCCCCCTCTTGGACACCCCCCTCTTGGCCGCTCCCGAATCGGAAAAAGCTGAGCAGCCGGATGTCTGGGTCTACCCTTCTCAGGATGGGAAAAACATACACACAGACACAATCAGTTGTCGCTTCTCAGGAAGATGTGGGCAGTGGGGGGGAAGGCGAAAACCCAGAAGATGTGGGAAGACATGGGGAATCCTGTTACGTGTGTCTATTTATTTGTGTGTCCCAGGGCCCCTTTTACCTTCCCTCGTCGCCACGGCTGGGTGCGCCCGGACGTCCTGGTCAGAGCGCACCACGGGGTGCGCTTTTGTTTATCGTGACCTTTCTGTTCCCCCGAGGTCCGCGCGTATGTCTCGGATCAGCGGCCGGCGCCCCTGGCGCCGCCCCTGGCGCCGCCCCTGGCGAGCTCCGCGCGCTAGGGAGAGGGGTCCAGCGCCGATCCCAGATATCCACGCAGACCTCCGAACATTTACGTTGATGTAGCTTCTTCTTCCTCTTCCCTGGTCATGGACAACGGCTACCCGCGGTTTCCAGTTTATGTTGGACCCCGTCTGGATTTGGATTGGGCGTCTTATTGCGTTGATTATTTGGGGGACGCCAACTGACTACTTGAGGGATCGGTGCACGTGCCTTCCTGGCTAGGAGTCCGATGCAGGGATTATCCATAACCGCCGCCTGTGGGATCGATATTCGAGGACCTCGACAGGCAATGGCTGTGCACACATTGGGCCCCCCATGGCCAGAATATTTCTATATTCACCGCCTGCCGAGGTACCCGAAGAATGATCCCTAGGCGGCGATCATGGATACATCCCAGGCTGTGTGCGATGCTCGCACGGAGGGCGCGTGCGATCCCAGGCCCAGGATGGGCGATGCCAGGACGGTTCGCGCCGTGACGACCGGCGACGATCCCGCCGCCAGCGCTCAACGTTGAACGCCGCCCGTGGCCCAGAATCGATCCATCGTTTCACGATCTAACGTTTCGGAAGCGGCCGCTCGTTCAAGGCCGAACGATCCTCGCGGTGTGAGGAACCAAAGCCAGGGTCGGCAAGACACGAACCCGAGGCGACCCAAAGATCCGACGTCGTGATTTTTTCAGTACGGGGTCCCCAGAAGTCTCCACCCGTTCCTTCCCCAGCACCGGTTTTCCATCCCGAGTCGTTTTTGTTTGGCTTTCCCTGGGGCCCGGCGAGGGCCGTCAGAGGCAGCAATCTGCGGAAATCCTCCGTCCTCATTTCTTCAGGAGGGGAGAAATCACACAGCCACAATTGCTCGTGGATTCCACAGGAGATCTGGGAAGATATGGGAAGTGGGGGGGAGCACGAAAACCCCCCAAATATGGGAATCTATATATACATCTATGTATATATATATATATATATATGGAATATGTTAATTTGTGTGCATTTCTTTGTGTGCCCCAGGGCCCCTTCCCTGATTCTTGCCGGCGCGCTGGATCTCTGGGGAGGCGGTCAGCTCGCGGCCCCCGGGCCGTGTGGCCCCGGCGGCGGCAGACCACCGGCCGGGCGAGCTCCGGCGGCAGCACAGCATCCTGTACGCGGACGCGGCGGTGGAGGGCGTGCTGGCGGCGCGGGCCGAGAGCCTGCCCGCGGCCTCCGCCGAGGATCGGGGGCGGCCCCTCCTCCTCCACCTCCTCCTCCTCCTCCTCCTGCTCCTCCTCCTCCTCCTCCTCCACCTTCTCCTCCCTCCTCCTCCCCCTCCTCCCCCACCTCCCCCACCTCCTCCTCCTCCTCCTCCTCCTCCTCCTCCTCCTCCTCCTCCTCCTCCCCCTCCTCCTCCTCCTCCTCCTCGCCCTGGTCCTCACAGGATTGCCCAGAAGCCTCGATCCTCGGGCCCCGGCCGCGTCTTGCCCGCGGCACGAACGTCGGGGGCGGCAAAGAGGGGGGTGATGACTAGGGGGGGGGTGATGTCATGGCGTGGGCCACGATACTTCCCTCATATCTCACGGCGCGTCTTCTCGTTTCATTGCGTCCCCAGCAGCACCCCCCCTGGGCCGCGCGCGTGCCGCCGGTCATGGTTGGCACCCCCCCCCTTGGACGCCCCCCTCTTGGCCGCCCCCGAGAGGAGCCCGCGGCCAGCGAGGGCTCGGAGGGGGGCGACACCGAGGCGGACGATG